CTTCAGAGAAAGATGAGTGTTCAGGAGAACTGCTGTTACAGGTGTCAAATGTGGCTTTAGAGTTTATGATGATCCTTATAAGTTACAGTGATAGAAAGTAAAGAGAAAAATTGATTATTCTTGGCTTGTATCTACCATATTTACCTGTGAAGATGATTGCACATATCCACTTATTGTAGTATGAAATCATTGTTTTCATGAAAGTGAAGGTATTGAAACAGTTGTTCAGTGAACAATGAAAAATGTACTTTTGCCTGAATCCTGAACATGCATTGCTTAAATGCTCTAAAATGCTCAGTTCTGTAATTTTCTGCAACATTTGTAGTAAATCAGACCTATTTCTGATAAATAGTGGTTTCCTTCTTTTGTTAGGTTTAGTAGCACAAGTTTTCTTTTAAAGAAAAACACTAGATGTTTTGTCTCAGTGGCTGTGAGTGAGCAGAAGGGGAAAATTGGGGAAGGGTCTTCAGAACCCACTGATAGACTTTGACCTCTGTAACCCAACCAACAATGACATCTATCACCAAAATGACCTCAGATCCTGCTGGGTTCTGCTCAAATCAACAAATCTGTACTGATTGCCCATTTTTGAGCAAGCCACAAGCTTGCAGATTTCAAGTGTAAGAAGTCAATTATATAGATAACCTTGACACAAAGGAGAGTGTGTGGGTCACCAGGAAACATTTCCAAGGGACAGTGCAGTTTCTAAGGGGAAGGAGCCCAGTTGGTTGAGAGGTAGCAAGAAGAATCTCCTGGGCAAGGTAGAATTAGGGGAAAATGGGGCTTCCCTGATAGCTCAGTTGGTAAAGAATCCGCTGCAATGCAAGAGACCCCAGTTTGATTCCTGGGTCGGGAGGATCTGTTGGAGAAGGGAAAGGCTGCCCACTCCAGTATTCTGGCCTGGAGAATTAGTCCAGGGGGTTGCAAAGAGTCAGACATGACTGAGCGACTTTCACTTTCAGGAACGGGGACAGAGCGATGCCATGTTCCTGCAGTGGGACCCTTGTACACACGGCCTGGAGACAGGCTTGATGCCTGGTGCTCCTGGGCGATGGCCATCCAGCTGGCTGGAGGAAAAGGATCATAGCTGTGGGGATGGTAGGAGATTAGGGTGCAGTGGAAGGTGGAGCATCCCTAGTGCTAAATGTGTGGCATGGGGAAATTCTGGCTGATTTGGGAGGTGGTGAGGAGCCCTTGTTGGATTCTGAGTGGGGAAAGAATGCTGGTGGAACAGAGGTTTCAGGACTGAGGGGAACAGGGCATGCTGTGCTGAGCAGTGAATTCAGGGAAAGTAAGGAAACTGTCCAGAACCTATGGTCATAGCTCTGCCATCCACAGGAGCCTGAATAGGATGGAAGGAAAAGGGGAAGACTCAATAGAGGGCTCTTCTGAGATGCAATCCACTGAGAACATTTCATGTGGGATGCCCAAGAGCACCTTCATGTCTGCAGGGTTCTTTCAGTTTTCCACTTTGCCCTCGGTTATCTGATGCAGTCAGACCTGTGCTCTGATTTGGCACAGGTGAACCTTGCCTGGAGAGATCTCTTTTGATCTATATTAACAGACTCTTCTTACCTTCTCAGGTCAGAAAGTGCATACTAAGTCATTGGTCACTGCTTCTAGTCTGTTTGTCCTCGGTCCCCACATGGCCAAGTTCCACTGGGGATTCAGGCCCACAGAAGACAGCATGGTGTTAGGAACTGAGCGCCCTGGGAGTTTTAGAGGTGCTTTTCAATTACTCTAGAAAGACAACTGCTTCTCTTCCCTACTGTGGCCTGGACATCACATATGTGTCCCCGGTTCATCACTCAATGCATCTCTACCTGATGCTCCATCGAGAGCAACTGGCATCCTTGAAAATATATTATTGTATTTATTTTTCATGACTCTTAGTAAAGAATCTCCATGCAAAGAGCATTTAGTTAAGTGACATCATGTCATTTATTCATCTGTTACATCTTTGCAAGATCATATGCATTTAATATGCATTTAATAAACTTCTAATACAAATAACAATAAAACAAAAGTCAATGTGTAATGGAAACCACATTTGACTGCTCTCTGCTCATAAGCCAATAGCCTGAGAGGCAAGTGTCCATAGGAAGGAAAGGTGCTTTAATCAGAAAAGCCGGCAACCTGGGGAGAAGGTGGACTCATGTTCTGAGACCAACTCCCAAGATTCTTTTCAGCCTTGACATTTTTTAAAGGGAAACATAAGGGAAACAATCTCAGTGAATCATCGAGGCAGGAGGTTGGGTTCTGTATCTTTCTCCATTGTGTGCAAACTGGCTGACTCTCTTCAGATGTTTTCTTGTCCACGTGATCTGAAGAATTGCTTAGAGGTTGGGTTGTTGGGGGTGGGAGTTAATCTTTTTCTTTTTTTAAAATGGCTTCATTCTTCACCTTTTTATTTGCAAAAAGAATCAACAGGTTAGACAAGGCATGGTGTGCATTCAGGAGAGTATAAGTCAGGAGTTCATTTCAGTTGATTAGTGATCTCATTTTTGTATTTAGGGTCTTTCAGAGATAGAGGGGAACAGAAATGAGCAAACAGAAAAGGGCCAAGAGAGCTGCTTGCAGATAATGAGTCGGTCACGCTTGGACTTGCTCTTCTCATCCTTTTGGCTAATGAATCAAGTGAACATCCTAGACTCATCTTCCTGATCTTTATGTTCCATGAGGGATTCACCACCACATGTGTGCTTGTCGGCTTTGAGCCCCTCAGCTCTGGCCATGATGCTGTGGGCTCGGACCCAGGGCATGTAGGGTACATTTGGCTCCATCACCAGATGCCTTAGGACATTATTACACAACATCCTAAAATACATTATTTTATTTTTTAACCGAAATCCTCTGAATCATGGGACAGTTTAAAACCCAATAAAATGACAGAGCCAAAAATAAATAAATAAAGATCCTGATTAAAAATCCATTTCACAGTTATTTTTTAGCCTCTACTAAATACAGTGAGCAATTGAGTCATATGTTTTAACTGGGAGAAGTCTTAGAAAGGTAATATGAATTTTAGTATTTTTTCTCTTTCTCTTTCAAAATGGATCTCCTCATTAACTCACCATAATTGATAACTAGGCCCTTTTTCTATGAATCAGAGATAAGTTTGATCATGTACTTTCTTAGACCAAAAAAAGATATAACTTATTTTAAATCTGAAACTTTTGACATTTCCCTCCTAGGCTTCAGCCTGAGGGAGGAATGGGGTTGTTCACTCCAGGGGCTCCAGGAGGTTCTTAGTGGCTTACTCAGCTTTGCAAAACAACCAAGGCTAGGAAACTCCTCCCTCAAATAAAGGCCTTTGTAGAAATTCATAGCTTATTTGCAAGTGACGTTATGATGCAGTCACAACTTTTACATTTACAAATATAAATATATATCAAACCTGTATTATTGCTAGGATTTTACTAGAGAATTTAATGCAGCCTATAAAGCAACGTTAGTTTAACTTTTCTATACCTACCCTTGTAACTTCTCCAACTTCACTTTTCTTGAGAAGGTTCTCAGAGTCCAAAGCACTCAAGTGATATGAAGATGTAAATGTCACCAGACCTCTCTGGAAGTTTGCACTTTAATCCACTGCTTAGACCCAGAGGAGTCGCAGCCATGGATGGCACTGGGGTGCCTGCAGGCCAGGAGGTGGGGTGAGCCACCCAAGGAGCTTTTGCGGAAACTCCAAAGTCCTTCTCAACTGCGCTGAGGCCATGGACAAAGGCTCCGTCTACATTTCAAAATATCTGTCTTGAAAGAATAAATGCCCACGTAGGACCCTTTGAAATTAAGGTGGGTGTGTTTTGTCACCAGGTACATTTATATTTGTCAACTTAAAGAGTCCGTTACTTCAATTTTAGTTATATGAAGACAGTTCAGTGTTAAAAAATAAGACAGGACAGCTACAGGGGTCAAACCAAAGCCCATGGACATGGGTTCTTCATCATGCACACCTCTTTTAGGGCCTTCTTCCACTTCACATCCTCAGTCTGCAAGCTCCACCTTCTGAAAAGCCACCTCCTCTGGGAAGTCTCCCAGGACTGCATGAATCCAGTGACTGACAATCTCTGTGCTTCCTCCACACCTTGACAACCTGGGGTGGAATGCAAATTTCTCCTCACTAGGCTGCTCTCGGCTCTAGTTTTGATTTTTCCCCTTTATTCCCAGGAACTGGCTGACTGAATGAATAAATGCTAAGTTCTTAGGGACGACAGCCAGCTGCCCATTTGAACTATGGAGACAACTAAGCCATGATTAGTAATCCTTGGATCAGCAATTGAGATCTGATGACTGAACCCTTTTGCGTGTATTGGCCACTTCCTGTGTTCTTTCTCAAATACACACATTTCCTGATAGACATTTCTTAGAATTGTGATTTTTTTTTTTTTTTTACAGTGGCCTGTGGCTCTGAAAGTGTGTGAGATTTCCAGACATATTCAACACCATCCAGACAGTGCCAAAGTATGTCATGCACACAGCTCCTGATCATTTAGGGGTTTAAAAAAATTCCTGTTGAGGGAGAAATTAGCTACCTTGTGGTTAATGGTCCACCTGGGTTGGCCTTCTTTCTCCTTGATGTCTCACATTGAGTCTCAGTCCTGATACTGTAATTTAATCAGTGGTGACTCCACACTGGAGTCTTCAACCCTGACCTCTTCTCTTGTTTCTCCGACGGCTCTCCATGTGGATGTTTGATGGGCATCGCTCCCTGAGCACGTGCAGAACCAGATTCCTGGTGGTCCTCATCGCCTCATTCCAACCTGCACCTATGTAAGCATCCCATCTGGGTACCTCACGCCTGAGACTCCATCCTCATGGTCACTCAGACAGAAGCAAAAAAAGACTCCCAGCAAACAAGCCATAGACTCCTCCACAAAATACAAAACCCCAGATCAACAATTTTGACTACTTGACTCTTCTCTTCCTCAAGCCTTGATAGAGCCCTGTCAATGAGGCCCTTCTTCCTGAAGGTTCTATAACTGCCCACTTGGAACCATGGGCTCTAGCCTCAGGATGGGAGTTAATGTCATGGCTGTTTAGGTATATTTTTCTGCTTCTGTTCCTATTCCCTCCAGTTTGTTCTCAACACCAGAGCTTGGGTGAACCTTTTAAAACCTGGCTTCCCTGGTGGGTCAAAGGGTAAAGAATCTACCTGCAATGCAGGACACCTGGATTCTGTCCTTGGGTCTAGCAGATCCCCTGGAGAAGGGGATGGCAACCTACTCCAGTGTTTTTGCCTGGAGAATCCCATGAACTGAGGAGCCTGGTCGGCTCCAGTCTGTAGAGTCACAGAGTTGGACATAACTGAGCAACTTCCAATTTCTCTTTAAAACCTGAGTTAGAACATGTATTTCCTCTGTCGAAAACCCTCCTGTGACATGACTGATGTGTTGTGAATGCAGTTGAAATACCTGAAGTTAATCTGTGTTGATCACTTACCACGAAGCCCAGCCTATGCTGAAGTATGCTGCCTGTTCTCATTTCATCCTGACTTCAGCCTCTCATTGTCACCACTATCTTATACGTAAGAAAACTGAGCTAAAACAGGTTGAAACAACTCTCTGAAGATCACTCTGAGAGGGAGTTGGCAGAGCTTGTTTTATACTGAAGCAGTCAGGTTCAGAGCAGGGATAGTAAAAAAATAAGCTCAGTGTTTCTGTCCTTCCTTTTTTATCTTCTTCTTTCACATGCTATGGTTGTTATAAACAAGGCCTATCTGATAATCCATTTCTATCAATGAAGGAAGACAGCAATGACATATGATATATTTTGAAGTGTAACTTTGTGATGAAGATTCTTAGCATTCTGTTTATTTATGAAGTCCTTGGCAGCATCTTGAGTCACTACCTGGTATTTCTCTGGACACCGATGGCATCAGTGCTTTTTTGGTCTTGCTAAGTTACTACTGCTGGTTCTAACACTCACCTTGCACTTTAGTTCTCATCGGAATCCTGGTATTAAGTTTGACTTTTCCACAGTCACTATATATATTTGTGTGTATATATATATATTTTTTCTTTTTTTTTTTTGGCTGCACTGTGTGGCTTAAGGGATCTTCAGCAGTGACAGTGCACTGCACAGCCAGGAAATTCCTTCCCATCCCAGTGTTTTTAAAGTCGTTGTTCATTAAGGTGAGATGTGAGCGTATATGTGATGAATGCTGTTCTCAAAAGAATTCATGAATAAATTTCATTTTTCATAAGAACTAGCAGGAACTAAAAGAAATGCAGTTGTAGATAAAGAACAATTTTAGTTCAATTGGGTAGTATAGTGTTACTGTATTTTATCAGACTAATAATGATGGTTGGAATAAAAATCATTATAACTTCACTATTGGCATATAATGAAAAACACTGCTAAAAATGTATCAGCAGCTCATTTTTTAAAATTTATTTGTTTTTAATTGGAGAATAATTGCTTTACAGTGTTGGGTTGGTTTCTGCCGCACATCAATATGAATCAGTCATAGGCCTGTGTCCCCTCCTTCTTGAATGTCCCTCCTTCTCCCCTCCCATCCCATCCTGTCCCTGTGGTTTGTCACAGAGCACCTATTTACAAATAGGTTCATCAGTACCATTTTTCTAGATTCTATATATATGTACTGGTATACAGTATTTGTTTTTAGAAACTCATGTTTTTGTAGGTGAAAAATTTTTAATCACATCCAACTCTTCCATGAAATTTAAGAAAATATAAATATCATCCTCTACCCAGTCCTAATATATTTCTTTTTTTCCAATATCTGCTAACATAGCCATGTCTAAATGATTGTCAAAAGGAAACTCATAATGCAGAGTGAGACAGACTCACCTGCCAAGAGCTAAGCCACTCGTATGTTCTTCAGTCCCCATAGTTTTAGAAGCATAAAATTCCGCATAAGTGATTAATATTTCTATTTAAATTGTAATAATCACACATCATGAATTTATTGAATTGAGTACAGTGTAAAATTGGCATGATTATCCATCCAGATATACTTTTAAAACTTAATTTGCTTTAGTCTTACCATGCAGGCTTATCAACTCATGGAGCATTATCACTGGTGCTCAATCAAAGTAATAAAAAGTAAAAGCTTGCCTTGAGGAATTATTTTGAAATTGAGATTTACTCTTGGAAAAATGTGTTAGCCCACCATTTATTATATTATCAAATTATCCTAACATAGTTAAAAGCACATTGATGATTATTTTTTTCCATAGGGATCAGTATTTTTTACATTTATTTCCCATTTATATGACTTTACTCTCTTGTATTGATGTAGGCTTGATAACCATTTTAATATTGTTCTGTATATTTAATGGCACATAGACTTGGATCACTAGTGTAGTGATCAAATGAGCTTTAGGGACATAAAGGCTTAGGTTTAATGACAGACCTGATACTTAACTAGTTGTGTTAGGGGTTTTTTTTTTGTCCAGTTATTGAATCTTCCTGAGCCTGCTCTTTACAGCTTCATGTATGTAAAGCATACTGTCTGACACATACCTGCTATTTTTTTTCTGGATTTATCGAGTCTCATCATGGGCTAAAATAAACTTACCGAGATGAAGGCTGGACTGCCCCTACATTCTGTGGTTTTTTGCATTCCATCATATCACAGTAGCTAACTCCATAGAAGGGCCACATTAATATCTTTCTTCCTATTTCTCTCCTATTTGGAAAGCAGTATTTATCATTATTTCTCTCTCTAGCAGATTTGTGTCTTGAGCCTTGTGTGCATTTGAGAAGAGTTATAACCAATCAACTCATTTGCTTTACTCACAATTACTGCTTAGTCTATTTTAATGATTAAAAGTGTTCCCCATGAAAAATGAACACTTATATTCTAGGAATGAGAGGAGAAGTCTATGAAAGCTTGTCCTTTCCCTGTGTAGAAATGTATCTGTATTTAACTTCTATTTTGTTCTTTTTAGCCATTCAAGAAGGATGGTGGTGATGCGGTGACATAAATAACTTTTGTCTGGAATGTTTTTATTTATTGAAAGGCAGGTGTGGAGCAGCTACCAGGTAGATAACATTACACAAAGCCCATGAGAGACAAAAAAGAAATTAAAAATTAAATAATGTTCACAAATAATCACACTGAAACAAGTGAGTGATCAAAACCTCAGGTTACCTCCTGGGAAAAGAGGGTTTTATGTACCTAACAGGATATTTTTCTCTTACCCTAGCAAGGGTTCATGGTGTCATTTAGCAAATACAATGTTTTGGCTCACTCTTCATCCTTTTAGGAGATTACCTTTTTATTGTTACTGTTTTGTTTTGTTTAAACCATCCTAAAGATTGGTATAAGAAAAATAAACAAGGCTGCTTTGACAGCTACCATTTATAAATGTGATGATCTAGAATCAATGCTAAAGTTTCTCCCAACTTATAGAAGCATAGAGGGTAATACTGGTGAGTTTTCATGTTGCTCTTTTAAAAATCTGTCAAGATGAACTATTTTAAAGATCTTCCTTCTGGGAACTCATGGGGGTACAGTTGAGTTGTCTGATCATGAAAACAGCCATGTTTTCAAGGAGGTTTAATGGTTCATTTCATTAAGTTTTGTCAAAAGATGTGAAGGTCCTGACTATGCTTACTGACCACAGCAATTATAACCATACTTGGTGTTTAGCGTGATGCGCTTCTGGAGGGCCATCCTTTCAGGTCAGGGGTTTCAAAATATTCCTTCTTCTGCTGAGGCTCATCTGAACCCTCTCCCCACCCTCTGCCCCTGTCCTCCTGTTTCCCATTCCAGGGTGTCCAGTCCATCCTCCAGGACTGTCCCCTCATCTGTAGCGGCTGCCATAAGCAAGGAGGGGTTTTGACCCCCACAGTTTTAGGGTGGCGAGCCTCTGGCCCCTCTAGGACCATACACTTGGCTGACTTTAGTTCAAGCCCCACTCTCCCGTCATCCTCCCTGCAAAACGGCCCTGAATCTCCTCCTCCTCCCACTCACAGCTCCTTGGAGGGCCCCCCAGTACCAACAGAAGTGGTGTAGTTTCTCTAGAATTCACTCTTTGGAACTTCTCTGGTTTCACAAGGTCTAAGAGCAACCTCATTGGAGGTCAACTTTACATCATCACACCCCAAAGTGGGGTGAGAACAAAGCCTTGTACGTTGTCACTGCCCCTGACTTCGGGGAAGCAGGCAGGTGGGGGACTGGTCCAGCAAGGCAAAGGAAGTGGCAAATAATGTTACACTTGTCCTCGTGTTGGCTTATATAGAGCTGACACAAAAGAACCAAATATATGTTGGTTTGACACCACCTCTAGGGTTGATATCTAGGGTTGGTGCTCTAGGGTTCATGGAAGAACACTTCTGATGTGGGAAAAAAATGACAAAATGTGTACATTTTCCAAAGACATATGTATATAAGAGAGAGAGAGAGAGGCAAATTTATCACAAAGCTAATGAACCTTAATTTTCAGAGTCCCTTACTCACCAGTCCCTTGTGAGGTTCTGAATTTAATTTCTCAGTTGTATATTTATAATTTCACATACTTTTTTCTCAAAGAAAGATCTGTCTTTGGATCTACCTTATGGTCCTGTGATAAAGTCTACATAGTTCTTTAATATAACCGTAGTCCAGTGTGAAGAAACACTAAGAAATAAGTCTGTGATCTGTGGAACAATGTTATCTTATCTGTCAGTTCAGTTCAGTTCAGTCACTCAGTTATGTCCAACTCTTTGCGACCCCCATGGACTGTAGCATGCCAGGCCTCCCTGTCCATCACCAACCCCTGGAGCTTGCTCAAACTCATGTCCATCCAGTCATTGATGCCATCCAATCATCTCATTCTCTGTCATCCCCTTCTCTTCCCATCTTCAATCTTTCCCAGCATCAGGGTCTTTTCAAATGAGTCAGTTCTTTGCATTAGGTGACCAAAGTATTAGAGTTTCAGCTTCAGCATCAGTCCTTTTAATGAACACTCAGGACTAATTTCCTTTAGGATGGACTGGTTGGATCTCCTTGCAGTCCAAGGGACTCTCAAAAGTCTTCTCCAACACCACAGTTCCAAAGCATCAGTTCTTTGGCACTCAGCTTGCTTTATAGTCCTACTCTCACATCCATATATGACTACTGGAAAAACCATAGCTTTGGCTAGATGCATCTTTGTTGGCAGTGTCTCTAATCTTTAATATGCTCTCCAGGTTGGATGTAGCTTCTCTTCCAAGGAATGCGTGTCGTTTAATTTCATGGCTGCAGTCACCATCTATAGTGATTTTGGAGCCCCCAAAACTAAAGTCACTCACTGTTTCTGTTGTTTCCCCACTTATTTGCCATGAAGTGATGGGACCAGATGCCATGATCTTAGTTTTTTGAATGTTGAGTTTTTAGCCTACTTTTTCACTCTCCTCTTTCACTTTCATCAAGAGGCTCTTTAGTTCCTCTTCACTTTCTGCCATAAGGGTGGTGTCATCTGCATATCTGAGGTTATTGATATTTCTCCCAGCAACCTTGATTCCAGCTTTTGCTTCATCCAGGCAGCATTTCTCATGATGTATTCTGCACATAAGTTAAATAAGCAGGGTGACAATATACAACTGTTATTGTCACTATTTCTGTTCATTCTGTTTGTCAATAATCTCACAAATCTCTCTAGAATGCTAAAAACATGAAGTGGTTATCTACATAGAAATTTTATTAGATAGGTTGATGGACTGTCCTTTACTACATGCAGCTATATTTTAGGGTAAAAGCACTTTGTTTTTGAGAATAAGAGTCTTTTAAAATATACAGTGAAGTCTTGCCTATAAATGAAAAATATTCCCCTTTTCACCTATTGCATGTATTATCTATTGCATATATTACCTATTGCAGATATATTAGATAGTATTCATATATTACCTATTGCAACCATTAAAATATTTTATTGTAAGATTGTAATTTGGGGACAAAATTCATTTTTGTAGTGTGATGTTTACAAATTACCAGTCTCAAGCTCTGTTGTCATCGTTTAGATCCTCTCAAGAATTGCCATGTATTTCTGGAAAGAGAATCAGTAGAATTTCCATAAGCCTGTAATTAGCTCAGTGTGGATTATTCACATTGTAGATCGGCCATTATGTAGGAATCCATTTTCAGAATCAGGGCTTCTCTGAGGTCCTTAGAAGCAGGGTAACTGCCCAAAGCAGTCCGTCGACTTCCTTCCTTTCTGTGTCACTGTGTGTACGTGTGTGTATATATATATTTTTTCCATGTCACTGTATTTTTCATGGAAGGCCCGCCTTTCCAAGTTTCCCCTTGTTTGCCCTCATTGGTGCAAAGTGTCAAGAGCGCTTTGTGAGGGGGTGCGTTGCACGCCAGTGGTTATGTACCCACATCCCGCTTGCTGTGGTGACACAGCCTGGGGCCACACCATTGGGGGGTTATATCACGGGAGCTGTTCTCAACCTAAAGCAGAATTGCCTTAGTCACTCAGTGAATCACCAAAGGATTTCAGTTATCATTTGACTTCTCATCATAAATGAAACCCCTAACCCATCACCCACATTCCTCATTACTGTTGGCTCTGCTGACTCATCTTTGTTTCCATAATCAAAATTAAAGGAAACAATTCCAAACTAGGAATTCTGTAAATGAATTCAGGCATAGGAATACAATAAGAACAATTTTACAGCTTCTGGTATGATTGCTCCTCATATGCATGGGAACCTTCAAGGATTTGGCAAGGTTATTTCTACACTTAAAAATGTAAAATTAAATTTCATTCATTTTTCACAAGCTAATAATAATAAAAACAAAATAGAGGCCTATGTCATGATATAAAGGCCCTTAGTGGAATTCCAACTCTAAACTTATATTTGTTCATTTGAGAAGTTTATAAAAAGAATATAACAAGGGAAATAAACTTACTTATTTATTTGTGGGGAAGCCAAGCCTTATTCTCACTTCTTGATATTATCAAATCATAAGTGTCAGTGTCATAAAGTAGAATCATTTAAAAATGAAGGAAAATTTAATGTTTTTTGCAAACATTAATAGGCTGATAAGTGATTTACTATTTTGAATCAATTCAGATACATAAGTTTAAATCTTATTTATGCCTTTAAAATTATTTATGTTTTTTCACATAGTAAAGTACTAAAATTATGCATGTGTATATGAAAAGATTCTAAATATTTTCAAATATACTAAAAAGTGATTTGAAATATAATTTTATTGTTAATGTGAAAATGTGAGACACATTTTAATAATTAACTACAATAACTTCCTTATAATTGTTTTATTATGAACATTTATGCTTAAAACTGTTAAAATACATTATTGTAAAATTAACAATAAAGTGGCAGAAAATCCATTAAGAAAAGTATCAGGTAAAGTTGTAATATAACGGCGAATGAAATGTATAATTTTTAGGTTACTGTTTTCATCTTCCACAATATTGTATTACATTATTCATTGATACAGTGAGATGAATATTCCTAAAATGTTGACTGAGATCAATCCCCAAATAAACTATTTCAACTTTAAAAATATATGAGTTACTGTAACATTAGCAAATATTCATTAAGAAACTAATGAAATACTTTTTTGTTTTTTTTCTTTAAAGAAGAAACAGCTTCTGGTGAGAAAGATGTCTGATGTTTTTTCTCCCATTCCCCACCACCATTTTCAGTTGCATTTACAACAAAGCTTCAGGCTACGTAGCCCCAAAATGGGATCACACCATGAAATGAAGTGAGAAGGGGTGTGATGGACTTGATCGATCAAATTAAGGCAGCCACGGAAGCTACTTCTACCTGTCTGTCTCTGCTCTGGACATGGATGCCCAAAAGCACCTGTTGGACTTGTGTTGACCTCCTAGACATTTTCTGATTTCACCTCTCACCTCCATATGCAGAAAACTCAGGTCTTTTGTGCCTCTGCAGAGGAATACAGTTATCAGTTTGTCTTGAAAACCGACAGACCAAAAGAAGGAAGATTTTAAATCACCACTAGGTGAGTGAGTGAGTGTTAGTCGCTCAGTCCTGACCAGCTCTTTGCAACCCCATGGCCTCCTCTGTGTGGAATTCTCTAGGCAAGAATACTCAAGTGGGTTACCATTCCATTCTCCAGAGGATGTTCCCAACCCAAGGATCAAACCTCTATCTCCTGGATTGCAGGTGGATTTTTTTACCGACTGAACCACCAGGGAAACCCCACTACTAGGTACTCACTACAAAAACAGTTGTTTCTAGCAAGGTCTGATGATGGGTGCTAAATGGATTAGATGAAAGTTGGAGAAAAAGCAGGATTTTTGCATAGTCTCAAAGTACCCCCCCCATCCCCGCCCCTGCTGCCAAGGTAATTATCAATTGTGAGGGAAAACATAGTCACTTTATAGTAGAGAAACCCAGAAGATACCACTTTAACCAAATGATGAATACTAACATCACCAGTAATAAGATATCTGTGTCATGTTTTCCAGAAGGTTGGTAATGGGACATATTAAAATCCCATTTGTGGAAGCAGGGAATGTGCCTTGCATTACTTTGAGGTTCATGACTGTCTTCATCAGCTTGGAAATCCCATGGGCTGGATGGATGAAACCATCCAAATGAATTTTCTCACAGTTCTGGGGACTGGAAGTTCCTGATCAATCAGAGTCCTGGCCTCTTTGTCGGGCTTACTGGTACACAGTATGACAATCTCTAGTTTCATCCATGTTGCTGCAGATGACATCATTTTAGTCTTTTTATGTCTGAGTAGGATTCCACTGCGTGTATATACCACATCTTCTTTATCCCTTTTCCCGTCGATGTGCATTTAGGTTGCTCCCATGGATTGGCTATTGTGAATAGCACTGCAATAAAGCCGTTAATCCTGTCAGGTCAGGTCTGTATCCTGTGACTACTACCTAATTAAAAGTAACTTTATTACCTCTGCAGAGGCCGAGCACTCAGATATGATCACGTTGAGAGCTGGGGCTTCAATGTATGACTTTGAGGGACACAGACATTCAATCTATAACATTCTACCCCTAGATACCCCAAGTTCATGTCTTTCTCTCATACGAAATACTTTCATTCCATCCCAACAGTCTCAAAAGTCTTCATCTGGACCAGAACCAGCTCTAAAGTCTGAAATCCCATCTGTGAATCACCTGAGTCAGACATGGGTAAGAGTCACAAAGCATGGTTCATCCTGAGGCAAATTCCTCGCCAGCTGGAAACCTACCTCTCTGATAGATACACTAAAGCGGCCACATCTCAAGTGTTTCCTTGGAGAGGCTGTGAATTTTCCCAACTTCCAAATCTTCCTTTTTGCCTAATAGTTCTTTCTTTGGTTACTCTCTCCCCTCACATTTTGTTATCAGCAGTCAGAAGGATCCAAGCCACACCTTCAGTACTTCTCTTAGAAATTTCTTCTGCTGAATATCCAGCCTCATCAATCACAATTTCTACCTTTTCACAAAACACTAGACCATAGCTTACCATGTTCTTTGCCACTTTATAACAAGAACTGTTTCCCCAGTTTCCAATAACCTGTATCTCATTTCTGTCTGAGCCCCCAACAAAGTGGCCTTTAACTTCCATATTTCTGCCAACATTCTGTTATTGATGATTTATGTATCCCCTAAGAAGATGAAAGGGCTTCCCTCGTGGATCAGATGGTAAATCTGCCTATAATGCAGGTGACCCAGGTTCAATCCCTGGGTCAGGAAGATCCCCTGAAGATGGGAATGACAACCCACTCCAGTATTCTTGCCTGGAGAATCCCATGGACAGAGGAGCCTGGGATCCTACAGTCCATGGGATCGCAAAGAGCTAGACATGACTGAGAGACTAATGCTTTCACTTTAAGAAGAAAGCTTTCCTTCTAACTCTCCTCTTATCTTCCTGAGCTCCCATCAGAATTGCCATTAATACCTGCAGTTGTACCAGTGACCCGCTGATGGCCATGCTGAACTTCTCTGGCTTGCACCCAAAAATTATTCTAGCTGCTACCCGTCACCCAGATCCAAAGCTGCTTCCATATATTTTGGTATTTGTTACACTAGCACCTAATTCTGGGCTCTGAAATCTGTCTTATCTTTTATTTCCCTCTGTAAAGACCCTGTCTGCAAATAGTCTCATTTGGGACTGGAGCTTCAACAGAAGAGTTTTAGGGGGGCACAGCTTTCAGTCCCTACGAGTGGACCATATTAATGCTGAGAAAGCTGAGTGAGTCAGTTTCCGAGAGGAGGAGGGATGCTGTTAAGATTCAAGCAGAATCCACAGTGAGGGCTTGCAGAGCTGGGTTGAGACTTAAGATTTGTTTATTGTCAGAACAGCCAGAAGGGTTTCTCATAGTTTCGTTAGCAGCATTTAGATAAAGTCCCAGTAACTGGGATTAGTCAGTTGGTCTTGAACCTTAGGGCCAAACCACATACCTTTGTGTTCCTGAGTTTTATTTTCTTGAGAGAAAAGATAATGACAGTGAACACATGTTTATTCATCACTTTAAAATTGGCTGCCTCTTGGGTTTAAATTTTTTAATATTATTTACTCAAGAAATAGCATCAATTTTATACAATATATAGTATTTCCCCCTTAATACATAGCAAAGTGTATTAGGAATATCAAAGTAACCATGACAACCAGCTTCTTTACAATCCAGTTCGTGATGGCAGAGCATAGGAGCACGCAGATCCTTAGCAGGAAATATTTCTTTGTGGCGATATATAAATATACAGATAGAGATATACAGAGGCATATACATTCTAAAAAGTGTTAGCATATGTATATACACATATATAGTAATGTTTTTTAACAGAAGATAGACAAAAGATTTCCTATGAGTGTATCACAGGTTTTGTCAGGAATAAGCAGCCTAGCATTTTTAGAAATAAAAGGCATAAGAGGTTTGTGTTGGAAGCCCTGCATCCTAGGTCAGTCTTTGGCACTTCACGGCTGCCCAGCCAACCATCTGATGACCGCCTGGGGCTTCAGTTTCCTCATCTGAGAAACACAGTAGTCATTTGTCAGAGCTGGAAGAGTTTGGCCAAAAAAGGACTTTGTAAGCACTGCATTTATTCCCCTCGCTATTTCACTTCTGTAAGGGTGGTTATTCTCTAATATTTATCACTTTTATGTCTCATAATGAAGGCTGATAGTGAAAGTCTTAGGAACTGTTATCAGTATTACCGTTAAAAAAATCATAGAAGTGAGGAAAAGCACTTGTGAAAAGGTGCAGTGACTTGTAGATACTGTGCAGGAAGGAGAAGCAAGTGGATAATCCTGGCCTTGTCTCCAAGCCACCCCGAAGACTCCTCCAGGACATGGGTAATGGTGAGCAGAATGGGGGAGTCGGGCATGAGCTACTGAGGCGGATACAAGGAGACAGCCTTGCCACAGTGAGGGTCGCTGCAGGGTAGAGCTGACTTCCCTCTGGGAGGCTGCGGACCCCACCTGTGGCAGCTGCTTCCCTGGCCGGGGACCCTCGACCTCGCCCTGGAGTCAGGGACCTGGCTCCCCAGACCCGGGGCTCCCTCTGGGCTTGGGGTTCTGTGCCTCTCTCTGAATCTCTGCCACTAGGCGCCTTCTGATTGTCCTGGTGAAGACTGGTGACCTACAGAAAAGCAAACCAACCTGGAAAGTCACACACGGAATTACACAACCCAGCAAGTGCATTCCTCTCCTGGAAAAGTCAAGCGTTCCATTTTTCTTTTAAAATACTGGAAAGAATGTGCTCAGTGATTACAGTAAGTGGTAAAGCCTGCTTAGTGGTTAGGCTGGGGGAGAAGACGAGGAAAGGGGATGCAGTAGGAAGTGGGGAAAGGGGTGGGGAGGGGAGGGGTGAGGGTCCAGCCTGGAAGAGCAGAGGGGAGGGGAGGAGGGAGACTGTTATAGGACACACGCTGCTATCCCTTTAGACTGTGGGAATCAGCATTGCCAGCCTTTGTCTCCTAGCTTTGAAAGTGGGTGAGCTGGATAACTATGTCCTCTATGTGTTCAGCTTTCTGATTCCTTTCCTTTGGGGGAGCAGTAATTTGAAAGGGCTGCCAGGGTAGTCACTGGATGTTATTTTCTGGACAGCAGAAGCTGGGACAAAGCATTTTCATCTGTATGAAAGCCAGCCAGATGGTCCTAAGCCAGTTCTCCACTTCAACTCTAGGAAGAGCTTAACATGACTCAGCTTTTTGTTTCTAGAACTTCAAACAGTCTTCCTACAGTATGTTTACATGACAGGGATTGACAAATTAATTGTATTCCAATGAAAAGTGAAAGCATTAGTCGCTCCGTCTTGTCTGACTCTTTCTGACCCTGTGGACTGTAGCCCAACAGGCTTCTCTGTCCATGGGATTCTCCAGGCAAAACTACTTGAGTGGGGAGACATTCCCTTCTCCAGGGAAATCCTCCTGACCCAGGGATTGAACCAGGTCACCTACATTGCAGGCAGATTCTTCACCTTCTGAGCCACCACAGAAGCCGCATTCTTATAACCTATCTTTGAAGATTTGAACATTGAAATGATGCAATAAATAGTAAGTGTCCCTCAGATTCTTTTTAGAAACGAGGAAAGGAAAATCTATGTATCTAGCTAGCTGTATTTACATATCTGTCTGTTTATGTAACTGGGCTGCCCATGTAGCTCAGCTGGTAAAGAATCCTCCTGCAATGCCAGAGATCGATCTGTGTTCGATCCCTGGGTTGGGAAGATCCCCTGGAGAACGGCCTGGCAGCCAACTCCAGTATTCTTGCCTGGAGAATCCCCATGGACAGAGGAGCCTGGCGGGCTACAGTCCATGGAGTTGCAGAGAGTCAGACACAACTGAGCAACCTAGCACAGCATAACATTCATGTAACTATTCACATCTATCTCTACTTATTTACAGAGATCTATCTATTTAACATCCTTATCTTTATCGATTTATATTTTTGTATCTGTCTACCATCTATCTGTCATTTCCAGTATTCTCTTTTGCTTTTTAGGAGAGATTATTTTCTACCTTCCCAAGGCCTTGATAATAATTAGAGATGAATTTTTTAATCGGTTGGGTTAGAGGATAGATTCAAGAGATGCTAAACAGAGGTCCTTAAAAAGTTAAGGAGTAGGTGTGGCTGACTGTCCTTTGACAATCTAAGTAAGCCTTTGCTGTCAACTGTTTCTAGTTCTCTGCTTTGCAGCATCACTCTATGTTTTATTGATCAGTGAGTAAATATGTGTGTGACCATAATTGTACAGGTGCTGCCTCAAGTTTTACTTAAAGTGATGTCACATAGAGACTATTTTGAAGAAAGTTCTTTTCTATGTTGTACTTTATATCTTTTGCTATAGAAGGTACTAAGTTTCTTTAAAAAAAAATGCAGTGGTAATATTTTGCTTTGCTCAGATCTCTCTGGGACAAAAACCCAACCCAAACCAAACTAACCTTTTTCTCTGTTTATATTTCCCAGAAGTCATTATATATTGGTGCCTGAGAACCCCTTGATTCTTAGCAGTAAATATCCCAAAGACTATTAAGGACACATAAAGCTTAGCTAGAACTTATCTGTTAAATTTCCAGTTAGTTATACTTCCTATCCAAGGACGTTACAACGAGTGATTGAATTGTCTTCTGCTGCACTTACAAGCTGTATTTTCAGGGAGAATGGGAGAGATCTAAGTTCTGTGAGTTTACCCTGGAGTTGGAGTAATATTTAGATTAAAACTCTGTGCCTCCTACTCTACTGTGGAAAGTCAGTCTTGTCTGTGGGCCGCTGATTCAGTGCTTAGTTAGGCCCTCAAGTCCTGCACTTGGTCCTCCAGCCTTGTCTTCCACACAGACAGACAACAGCCATCTGACGCTGACCGTCAGCGGTTCAGCTTGAGCGGCTGGACAGTGGTGAGACTTGCCGGTGAGGTAATGACTGTGGACTTTCCTGGCAGTTTCTGAAGGTCTGTGTCGCACGTTTCCAGAATGACCCCCTGTGACACTCTGCCTTTGTGGAATGTATCTCCTGTGTTTCACCGTAGATTCTTTTAAACTAAGCTTAGGGTTTTATATTCCTGTTGCCTCATACTGTCAATTTTTAGGGTCGTGATTTTATGGGACGAGATCCGTGGCTTTGAAGAATTGATCCACTTTGGAATTGAGGGAGTGAATCGCTGGACAGTCTAACTTAGTTTACTCAGATAATCTTTCCTTTGTTTTAAAAATATACCCAGTTCTGAACTTCTTATTGATTTTGAAACTGCATTGCTCCTTGTGTAATGGTTTACATAAATTCAGAGCCTCTTGTCTCTGCAGCTGCTCTGATAGATGTGATTTTACTACCTCGTACAGAGATCTTCTGACTTTGGGGGTTACTGATGGGAGCTGAGCGACCTGCCTTAAGTTAGTCCATCCCATTTAGACTTCAGGGAAAGGTTTAGTTACTCCCTGCTCTTCTCTTGAGCACAGAGACACCTCCGAGCATATGAACTAGAAATACGAGATGAGTGTGAGGATGCACTACATCTAAAACATGGAAAAGTGTCGCTCTTTGTTCTTGGATTGTTGAAATACTGTTTATTTCTCTCTCATGAAGTAATGGAATAAAGGCCCCATTATAAAACATTTCACTCTATCATAAACTCAGTTACACTGAGTCAGAGTGGAGTCATACATGACGTAGGAGGAACCGTTCTGTTTTCTGACACGTCCAAGAAGCAGGTGGGTGGCCACTGTTGTCCAGTCGCTACGCCCCGGCTGACTCTCTGTGACCCATGGACTGCAGCACCCCGTCCTTCACTGTCTCCTGGAGTTTGCTCAAACTCATGTCCAGTTAGTGGGTGATGCCATCCAACTGTCTTATCCCCTGTTACCCCCTTCTCCTGTCTTCAGTCTTTCCCCAAACCAGTCTTTTCCAGGGAGTCAGCACTTTGCACCAGGTGGCCAAAGTATTGGAGCTTCAGCTTCAGCGTTAATCCTTCCAGTGAACTCTCAGTGTTGATTTCCTTTAGGATGGACTGGTTTGATCTCCTTGCTGTCCAAGGGACTCTCAAAATTCTTCTCCAACACCACAGTTCAAAAGCATCAACTCTTCAGCACCTAGCCTTCTTTATGGCCCAACTCTCACATCCATACAGGACTACTGGAAAAAAACAAAAAACAAAAAACATAGCTTTGACTATACAGGCCTTTGTCAGCAAAGTGATTTCTCTGCCTTTTAATACTCTCTCTAGTATATTAAATAGTACTATATATACATATACTACATAAATAATATATATACGTTATAGTATATAGTATAATATGGGTTTCCCTGGTGGCTCAGATAGTAAAGAATCCACCTGCAATGCAGGAGACCCAGGTTGGATCCCTGGATTGGGAAGATGCCTTGAGGAAGGGAATCCACTCCAATATTCTTGCCTAAGTAATCCCATGGACAGAGGATCGTAGAGCCGGACACAACTGAGCAACTTAAGTACACATATACTCTCTAGGGTAGCCATATCCGTAGTTTGCAAACTGAATTTCTGGAGTAAGATTTTAGATTAAAACAGAATATAAGGATTTCTGCTTGGACATGATAGAAAATAAGACTCTAATAATTAGAAATAACTTCTGCTCTTTTCTTATACTGCAGTTTTGTCATTAATGAGCCAGCATGACTTGTTTAAATTCTATCCCTCATCTTTTCCTTAGTATTCAGTTTTTGTTGCTTCCCATAAATTTGACATTTTCATTAAAATCTTGGTAGAATCTTTGTTACACTGACTTTATCCTGATTCCTCTTCAAATTCTGATTTTTGAATCCTCTTTTTTATTTGGAGATGAAATTGATGTGTCTAAAGCTTTCACTTTGTTTTCATTCAAAGCCTGGTATAAAATACACAGAACTGCATGTTAGGAGACCTTGTTGACCTAAGTCCAAAGCAATTTTTTGGATACCAGAAAGTAGTTAGGTCTTGGGTACAGCTGCTTTTTGGTTAGTGTTTTCTCTTTTCAGCTTTGTTTTTGGTTTGATTTGTGTCTGTGTCTATGTGTGGACATGTTTGTGTGTGCGCGCTTCCACAACAAGCTCTGAAATGTTTAAAGGTTATCTCCTTCAGCTTCTAAATCAAATTTATTCACTATTGTAGCCTCAGTTCCTTTTGTCTCCTAACAACTGCTCAGCCAAAACCTGGTTCATGGGGTCAGATGCACACATCACATTAGGCTCCGAAGTCTCCACGGCCCCACCCCCCAGCTGTGACATGTGACAGGCCAGGGGGTTACTTACTTTGGGCCCATCAGCAGCAGGCTTGCACGCCAGCCCTTCTAGGCTCTGCCCTCCAGAAACATCAGCACCAGCCTTAGGTTTGAGATCACCTGAAGAGAGGAGCTCCAGGGATGGAGCAGGTGGGATGGTTCCCAGAGAAATGGAGGGCCTCAGGAATGGGGATGTTAGGATAGCAGAAAATAATTTTTTTGACAGGGAGGCATCTTGTAGTGAAGATTACTAGCTGTTTGGCACACCACAAACTTTTCTAAACTACTTAAATTTATCTTGGAATGTGATCCGTTTGTGATGTCACAGAGAATAAATGTATCTGGCAGGAACATTTTACTGAAGTTGTTTTCCCTGGACTAAGCCTTGTCTTGTCTTTGAAGCGCTTTCCAATGGCTTTGCTCTGAAGATGGTGCATCTCAGAGTAAGGTTTAGGGAAGGGACCAGGTTTTAACCTTAGTTTGTATCTATGATGCCTGGCACAATAACTAGGGAATTCAAGTTAAGACCACATTTATTCTGGACACCCACCATGTGCAAAACACAGTGAGTACCTCGGAGCGACGTGTTGACTTGCTGTAACGCTACTGAACTGTTCATCAGACATGAACACGGGAAGTGGGAGGGGTAGCCTTGCCGGTCCTTTTCATTTTTCGTTCCGTTGATGGGGACCACATGTCTTCTTTAGGTGATGTTTTTCCGGGTGGTTAGTAATGACTGCCATTATCGGCTGTGATAAGGCGGTACTCAGACGGCCGCTCCTCTCTGTGTAATCAGATGAACCAGATATTATGTTTGGCTTTGTTTATGGAAAAAAAAGACTTGATGAAATTGTGGTTTGAGGCCTATTAGCAAAAAGGATCAGTGGTTTCTCGGAATTACAATTTGAATTTTTGAGAAAAATAGAAGAAAGAGTCTCCCTATGGGATTAAATTGGTCTGTGTCATTGCTTCTCTGGCTGAAATCTGGGGATTCTATCAGAAAAGTCACTGGAGTAAGAAATGACCCTATAAAAGGGCATTAAGCAATGCCAAGGAAAAGATGACGA